CAGCTCAAAAGAATAATTTATAAGCAATAAATATGACAAATTTGAGTGGAAAATATGCGGAAAATATTTAAAATGTGCAAAATAAATACATATATAGTCACTATAGTAGTATCGTATATGCATGTAATGAAAGAAAATATGGACCACTGTGTTTTTATTTTACAATGTCCCTCAAATTCCTTGAAGAGAATTTGTTAAAATAATTTACTGCAAAAATAAAAATATGATAATATATTTATTACAGAATGAACAGATAATTGCTTTAAGTAACAATCTACACCTTAATCTCAGTGACTATTTCCTTTTTCATAAGGAAAATAATTGTTATTTATAAATTCAAGTTTACATCAATAAAATCTTTAAACACAAAGAAATGAACCTATTTTTATATTCTCTGAAATATCACAGGAAAAGCATAACTTACATATTACAATAAAATATAAATTGGGATAAAGTCATAACTGCTATCCTGCCATTTATTCTACTAGCTTAAAATGCTAAAATATAAGAACTGATAAACATCAAGGAATGTAAATTTATGCTAAACCATTAAGGGATCAATATTCCTGGACTACAGAATTTGTTATTTGATGGTACTTGGTCTTTCTACAGTTCCTCATTTCTTCATTCATGTTATTTTGCTCTTTTCAACTAGCTTGTAAATTCCCAAATGTGAGGAACTATGCTTTCTATTTTCCATATATCCTTCTGCGTAACAAAAATCTGAGCAATAAATACCTGCTGACTAATTGATATAATTTACTGTGGTAATAGTGAAGTTTTTGACCTTGAAACTTGTCTGGATGTTCTTCTTTAGGTAATCAGTTGTATTATCTTTAAATTATTCCTCTGCTTTCTGCCACATTCACTCAGCTATGTAGCATGATGCCCTGTACAAAAGCATCATGATTTTAAACTATACAAAGTCTCTGACTCTGCAACTGCTCCCATTATATCCTGTGACTTTCTCTCCTCTTGCTACATATAATCAATACCATGATCACTTGCTAAATGTGATGACCTGTAGGTTACATCTGATTTACAAGAATCAATCTCCTTAAATATCAAACAAAAAATATCTTTTTAGAATGAATTTAATCAAATTACTTCTTAAATAGGTCAAATTCCCTTAAACTCAAAATGTAGAATACTCAAAAGAAAATATTACTCAAGATTTGTGGCTCAGCACCTGTGGCTCAAGCAGCTAAGTCGCCAGCCACATACACCTGGCAGGTTTGAATCCAGCCCGGGCCCGCCACACAATGACGGTTGCAACCAAAAAATACCCAGGCGTTGTGGTGGGCGCCTGTAGTCCCAGCTACTTGGGAGGCAGAGACAGAAGACTTGCTTGAGCCCAGGAGTTAGAGGCTGCTGTGAGCTGTGATGCCACAGCACTCTACCCAGGGTGATGGCTTGAGGCTCTGTCTCAAAAAAAAAAAAAAAAAAAAAAAAGATTTGCTACTTATTAATCAATTTGGTATACTTAAGGCTCTCTAAAGACACAATCTAGCCTAAAAGCTTCCCAATTTCAGTATACTCTTTGGAGTAAAAGATTTATAGAGTATAACAACAGGAAAGTATTTAAAAGAACAGTACTTTATATTTAGATCACCTAAATAAGGTATTGAGAGCAATAATTAGCTTTTAAATCATTACTATCAAATACATTTTACGCACTTCTTACACATGGCAAGTTCTATATCAGATCAGAAAGTTAAATATAATCTAATGTTCACTGCTTTATATTGAAAATTCTTCTCACCAGAAAAGTTGGATGGGATAAAAATAGTTTAATTTCACACACACAGAAAAAATAAGAAAGTATATTTTATATGGGCAACCTACAAATAAATGAAAGAGGAGGCTCGTGAAGCTTAGAAAAGAGGATTTCTGAGACAATGGATAAAAGACTTAGATTCAAGATCAGAAGGACCCTAAGGGAGAGGTGGCAAAGTATGAGGATTAAATAAATGAAAAGGATCAACACTTGAGAGATGCAAGAGAGTCTGTTAGGTGGGATGCTTTGTCTAAATTAGAGTGCTTCTTAAACTTTTTGGGTGATAGCCCTTTTCAAATATTTTAGTGCTATTATCCTACCACCTCCCAGCACATAAAACAAAATCTATACAAAGACCCTAGATTGAGAAATTCTAGTATAAAGACTCAACAGAAATTCCACTGTCCAAAAGAGCAGAATTTAATACCAACTGTAATGATGATTTTTTTCCAGCAGAACTAAACCTCATTATCAAATTAACTCTGATACCCCTTTGGAGGGGGTGTGTGTGTATGTATACATATATCATACCTATATTTTTATTGCCCTCAGCCAAATTAAATCTGGAAAAAAAAATTTTTTTGTTAGAATTATCATACTTAAGCATAAGGAACCATAGAGACAGAATGAAAAAATGAAGAAAGGAAGGGGGCAAGAATAGGAAAGATAAAAAGAAGTGAGGAAAAAGAATAATGAATGGTGCAGAAACCTAAGTCGTTACAGAGGTCACAGTGGTCTATAACTTGCCTTTTTTTTTTATAGACAGTCTTGCTCTGTCACCTGGGCTAGAGTGCCATGGTGCTGTCAGGGTGTTGTCAGTCTAGCTCACAGCAACCTCAAACTCCTAGGCTCAAGCAATCCTCCTGTTTCAACCTCCTGAGTAGCTGGGACTACAGGCACCTGCCACAATGCCTAGCTAATTTTCTACTTTAGTAGAGACGGGGTCTTGCTTTGCTAAGCTAGTCTTAAACTCCTGAGCTCAAGAGATCCTCCCACCTCAGCCTCCCAGGCACAGTGGTATATTTCTAATTAATGTTCTGATAAGAATCTGCCTCAAATTAAGTGTTTTATTAAGTGTTGTTAAAAATAGCTAACAATTATAAAATTGAGAAAAAACCTAGCAGAAAAGTTACCTAAATTATATCACATTCCTTCCATCACAGATTCACAATTATCTAATTTTTTTGTCATTAAGTTTTCATTTTAGTAAACACTCCAAAGAACAGATTAGACCCAAATTATACTGGTAAATGTTTTATTTTATTTTGTTTTTTTGAGACAGAGCCTCAAGCTGTCCCCCTGGGTAGAGTGCCATGGCATCACAGCTCACAGCAACCTCCAACTTCTGGGCTCAAGCAAGTCTCCTGCCTCAGCCTTCCAAGTAGCTGGAACCACAGGCACCCACCACAATGCCTGGCTATTTTTTGGTTGCAGCCATCATTGTTGTTTGTCGGGCCCGGACTGGATTCAAAACCACCACCTTAGGTGTATGTGGCTGGCACCTTAGCCACTTGAGCCACAGGCGCTGAGCCTGGTAAATGTTTTAAATGTATAATTTTTCATGATGAGATAGCTTACTAATCATGATTTGAATATTTATTTATTTTTTGGAGACAGAGTCACTCTGTCACCCTTGGTAGAGTACCATGGCATCATAGCTCACAGCCACTTCAAATTCCTAGATTCAACCAATCCTCCTGCCTCAGCCTCCTGAGTAGCTAGAACCATAGGCACGTACTACCACGCCTGGAGAGTTTTTCTAGTTTTAGTAGAGATGGGGTCTCACTCTTGCTCAGGCTAGTCTTGAACTCCTGAGCTCAAACAATCCACCCACCTCTGCCTCCCATGGGATTTCAGGCCTGAGCCACTGCACCCAGCTTTAAAATCTGGTTCTTTGAAAAGATCAGCAAAATGATAAACCTTCAGCTAAACTGACCAAAAGAAAAAAGAAATTACTAGAATAAAATGGAGATTTTACTACCAACCTTACAGAAACAAAAACTATTATAAAAAAAATAGAGTGAATAATTGAATCCTAGCCAATTAGATAACTTAGGTGAAATGGACAAATTCCAAGGAAGACACAAAATACCAAACCTGACTCAACAAGAGCCACTTCTATAGAGCTACTATGGTATGAATGTATCCCCCTCAGTTCATGTGTTGGAAACTTAATCTCCAATCCAACAGTGTTTAGAAGTGAGATCTCTAGGAGATGATTAAAAAGAGCCCTCATGAATGGATTAATGCCATAACTTTGGGAGTAGACTAGTTATCTCTAGTTAGTTCCCGATAAACAGAATGAATTTGGACCTCCTCCTCCTTCCCTTCCTTTTCCCCTCTTCTCTTTCTTTTCTCCCTCTCTTACACACACACACACACACACACACGCACGCACGCGCGCGCACGCTACGCTCTCTCATTCTCTCACCCTTCTACCACAGGATGACAAAGCACAAAGACCTTTGCCAGATTTAAGTCCCTCCATCTCGGGCTCCCCAGCCTTCAAAACTGTAAGAAATAAATCTCTATTCTTTAAAAATAATAAAAATTTAAAATACAAGATGTAGAAGGCTTCCTTGTGCAAGGATAACATTTTTAATTATTTTTAGCCCGTAAGTACTCCATTTTCAACTATAATGCTATGAACTCAATTTTGTCTTTGAAACACCTACTCTTATTCACTCATATCTTCAACTTAAATGAGTGCACAAACTATTAAATGACAAATTCAGAAGAGACAAACCTTTTTGAGAGCTCCCACATGTTTCCAAGCTGACCTATCTTCCTCACTGCATTTAACTGAAAGTGCCGCAAGAGCCTGCGTGTACAGGAGGGTAAAAAGTACCTTCACAATGCAGGTGAAGTGATCTACAAGAGAAAAACATCATTATTTCTTTGGAATCTACAGACATTTTGCACTCAAGATATCATCACAAATATATGCTTTTCCTTGCATACATAACTGGTTTTAGTTCAACATTTAAGCAGTTAAGAAAATGAAATTATAATGTGTGCCATTATATTTCTGCCTAACATCTGAAATTACAAAAGTGAAGTTCTTCTATTCATCCACAGAATATGTAATGAGAGGAAATAGCTTAGTGGAAAGAGAACTCTCTTTTAGAAGACCAGAGTGCTAATGCCACTCAAGTTTGGAATAGCTATGGAATTTTGTCAGATCCCTTTACTGGGCTTTATGTGCTCCGTAACAATGCTTGAGAGTCTCAGTGTTTAAAATCAACATATCATCTACCTCTAGTATGATATACCTCTAGTATGATCTTATAAAGAAAAAAGTATGATATACCTCTAGTATGATCTTATAAAGAAAAAAAGCTTAATATTTAGGTCACTTTTTAGGTTTCAAAATTCAATGCTATAGCAATATAAAACAGCAGTAACAATATGGAAAGTGTCTGGCAGCTTCTGAGATATATTAGGTATTTAAGTGGAAGCTCTAATAATCATAATTAACTTTTTTTTTTTTAAAGAGACAGAGTCTCGCTTTGTCACCCTTGGTAGAGTGCCATAGTGTCACAGCTCACAACAACCTCCAGCTCTTGGGCTTAGGCAATTCTCTTGCCTCAGCCTCCCGAGTAGCTGGGACTACAGGCACCCACCACAATGCCCAGCTATTTCTTTGTTGCAGTTAGGCCAGGGGCCAGGTTCAAACCTACCACCCTCAGTATATGGGGCCAGCACCCTACTTGCTGAGCAACAGGCACTGCCCCAAAATTAACATTTATATTTACCTAATAACCTAGAAAATTTCTTTGAGTGTCTCATTCAATCCTCAAAACAGTCTCAATTGGTCAACTGAACTTCAGAGGATAATGTTTGTGCCTTTAAACCTAATAAGCACCCAGATCTAAATTTGAATCCATACGGATCATTTTTCTTCAGGCTCAGCATTATGTTATGCTCCTCCCCTAGTAAATGGATTTTCCATTTATTCAGTTTCTGGAATCAGAACTTGAGGACATCTTGATACTTTCTTTTTTCTCCTCACATTAAAATAATCGCTAAGTTCCATCAATTCTACTTTCTAAATATCTCTGAAGCCAATTCCAATACCCTGGACCAGACTTCCATCTTGCCTATAGCTAAAATCCCAGAGGAAGTGGTTGTGATGAGGACCCCAAAGACCACTTTCAGGTTTCATGATTCACTAGAGGGACTCATGAGACTCAGTACAGAGTTATACTCATGGCTATCATGACTTATGACAGCAAAAGGATATAAGTTAAAATCAGCAAAGGAAAAAGGCACAGTGGGTGAAGTCCAAAGGAAACTTATAGAGTCTTCTCCCTAGTAGAGTCACACAGGATGTGCTTAACTCCCCGACCAACAAGCTGTGACAGCATGTGTGAAATCTGTACCAGAGAATCTCATTAGAGACTCAGGGTGCAAGGTTTTCACTGGAGTCATGGAAGCACTCTCTGCCTGGCACATACCCAAATTTCATACTACCAAAGGAAAGCAGATGTGTTCAACATAACCACATTATTTGTACAAATACTTCATGCATAATGAGCTACTCTTTTAAGTTGTGGGAATGATACAGGCCCTCCAAAAATCCAAGTTCCAGATGCCAGTCATAGCTCAATCTTGTAAGCAGGTCTTTAAAAGGACAGCAGACAGGCCTTCTAGGTTAATTCTTTTCTGTACAGTAGTTCATGTACATCATCTCTTAGTGCCCTGCAATCTACTTTCTTTATTACAGCTGAATGATCTTCCCTTCCCCAGCTTTACTGAGGTTATAATTGACAAAACTGTATACATTAAAGGTATACAATGTGATGTATTGATATGTAAGTATACATTGTGAAATGACTGCCATGATCAAGCTAATTAATATATCTATCACTTCACATAGTTACCTTTGTTTCCGTGTGTATGCAGAGAATACTTAAGATTTATTTCCTTAGCAATTTCTGAAAGTGTACAGTTCAGTACACTATTACTAACTCTACAGCAGTTAGTACAGTATTAGCTATAGTAACTAGTACAGTATTATTAACTATAGTCATTACATTGTACATTAGATCTCTACAACTTATTCACCTTATAACTCAAAGTTTGTACTTTTTGACCAACATTTCCAATTTCTCCTACCTCCCTAACACCTGATAACCATCCTTCTACTACTCTGTTTCAACTTGTTTAGATTCTGTACCCAAGTGTGATTACACAGTATTCATCTCTCTGTGACTGGCTTATTTCACTTAGCATAATGTCCTCCGAGTTTATCTGTGTTGTTGCAAATAGTAAGATTTCCTTCTTTTTAAAGACTAAATAATATTCCATTACACTTATATACCACATTTTCTTTATCCATTTATCCAATGACAGATGCTTAATTTGTTTTTATATCTTGGCTATGGTGAATAAAGTTGCAATGAACACAGGAGTTTATTAACAGTGATTTTATTTCCTTTGGATAAACATCCAAAAGTGAGAATGATGGATCCTATGGTAGTTCTACAGTTTCAGAATGGCCCGAGCTAAGGAAGAACAAAAAAGATAGAGAGAATGGGCCAAATTATAGAAATATTTAGATAACAGAAATGATAGGATTTGGCAGACCTTTGTAGTTAGACTGTGATGGTATCATCTCATTGTACAAAGGATAGATGGTAGTAGCACTGACTAAAATGGGAAACAGAGGAAGAGAACAGCCTTGGGCAGGAAGAAAATTAACTTGATGTTATATATGCTGGGTTGGAGGCATCTGGAACTCATGGGGGAGTTAGTTGTGAGCTACAGATTTGGGAATCATCAGAGAATAGATATAGTTGACACTATGAGAAAGAGGATAAAATTGAGAAAGAAGGGAACATGAATTAAAGAATAATTAAAAGAATGGTGAGAGAAAGAGGTAAAGGAAAAAAAAGCCTGAACATGAGTAGAAAAAGAGACAGGAGAACCAAGAAAGGACGGTGTCATCATAGTCAAGCAAAGAATATGTCATCATTTAATTACATTTTTAATAGGATGATAAAAATTATAGAATTTGTTTACTAATTATAAACAAAAAGATCCTAACCAAGAAGCCATTTATATTGCCTAAAAACCCCACTTGCATATAGCTTCTTCTCAGTGCAAACTATTGTTTTTATTGAAGAGAAGTAACACACTAAAAGAAATGATAGCTCCTACATTTTAGCTTTTCACTGTAGAAAAGTACTAATTTTGGCTTTTAGCAAGTTTTCTGTCTTGATAATCATCATTTTAAAATACAGTTAGTTCTCCATAACCATGGGTTTCTCATCTGTGGATTCAACCAACCATGGATCAAAAAAATATTTGGAAAAAAAATGGATGGTTGGGTCTGTATTGAACAAGTATAGACTTTTTTTCTTCTCCTTTTAGCCTAAAAAATATAGTATATCAACTATTTACCTAACATTTACATGGTATGAGATATTCCACATAATCTAGAGATGATTTAAAGCACACAGGAGGATATGAATGGGTTATACGAAAATATTTTACCATTTTATATAAGGGACTTGAGTATCCATGGATTTCAGTATCCATGTGTGTGATCCTGGAACCAGTCCCCCATAGATACTAAAGACAACTATACTTAAAGTGGCAGTTTAAAATCACAGCTTAAGCTTAAGCTTTTACATTCACTTGTTAACATTTAACATTTATTTATTTTTAGAATGCTTGCCATGTGTGAAACCTGTATCCTAGAACAAAACAGACTCACTCATATAATGTTTATATTAGGTATTTAGATCATTTAAAAAGAAGAAAAAGGATTAGACATCTACTCTAAATTAAAGGTTCAAGAACAAAAAACCACTATCAAAATACCTGAGATTAAACAAAGGACAATCAATACTTACTTGAAATGCCTTAGAAGCAAAAAGACTGTAGTTTCTCTAGGACAAGGTAGAGTACACATAAAACAATAAAACCCCTAGGGAAGAGCACACAGTAAACAGAACATGATCTGGAGATGATATCAGACATTTTATTCTTTTCCTAAAATTATCACGAAAGATTTTTGTAAAAATATATCCTAGTCCACAGCTTCCATAAAGCACTTTGCACATACTACATACAAACATCAGATCTTCTTAATCTTTCCTTTTATGATCAATCTGGAGTTATTAACTACAAATGCTCTGAATTTTTCCAAAAAGTCTAGCCTACAATAAAAATCACCTTGTGATGTGCTTTTCTGTGTGCTAAACTCAATCTATTTTCTTTTTGACGAGTAAAGAATCCAAACAATTTAATCAGACTTCATTTGCCTTAAACAACATAAAACCAATAAAAGATCCCAAGTCCACCTAATAACTACTAAAGTAGTTAATACTGTTCCCTTCGGTAAACTTCAAGCAACTGAATTTTAGGTCTAATAAATTGCCATTGTTCTCAAAGAACATTATATATAATATAAGATCTAAAGATTCAAATAAAAATAATGGTATTTTTGAATTCCAAAATAGAAAATTAACAGTTTACCTGGAAATAAGACTGTTGGATTTTTAACACATTCATTCTATCCCACAAACTTACTGAGCGTATTATATACTAGGTAAGCACTAGGAATTCATATAAGATGGTGCTAGCCCTGGAGTAATTGCTAGTCTAGAGATGGAGATTAAAGAAATTCTGTTATGACAACAAGACAAGTATCAGAACTATGGACAGATTATTATAACAAAGAGAAGAAGGAAATCCAAGAGAATGGTTTCCAGGAAAGAGTAACACTTTCAGAAAAAGACCACCAGGAGTTATTAAGTAAAGAATGGAGAAATGGCAAACATTTAAACATGCTCACAACTCTATCTTAAAAACAAACAAACAAACAAACAAAAACCTTTGAATTATGGTATTCCTCCCTTATG